TTTTTTTCAACGTTTATTTATTTTTTTTGGGACAGAGAGAGACAGAGCATGAACAGGGGAGGGGCAGAGAGAGAGGGAGACACAGAATCGGAAACAGGCTCCAGGCTCTGAGCCATCAGCCCAGAGCCTGACGCGGGGCTCGAACTCACGGACTGCGAGATCGTGACCTGGCTGAAGTTGGACGCTTAACCGACTGTGCCACCCAGGCGCCCCTATGTTAGCACTTCTTGAGGAGAAATCACATAGGACATTAGGACATATCTTAAAGACTCTGGATAAAGCTGCTTGCTTCTTTTACCCTCTGTCTCCTTTATTAAACTTCCAAGAGCTCTTTGTTTTGACCTGGAAGTGGCAGGTAAGTGGGGATACACTGATGTTTGGCTCTCTGACCTGACCTGGGGAGATGGGCAAGGCTACATTAACTGGGAGAAATCACGGTGCCCAAATGTCCTGAAGAGGATAAAACAGACCCTTATTTCTCATCATCTAACCTCTCATCATCTCATCATCATCTAACCTTATGGCTGCAATGGGTTCCCCATGGAGTGGGGCCTTTCCTGCTCTCTGAGGAGGCATGGACATGATCCTGAGGGAGAGTGGGAGGTTGGCATTGTAAAATATGGGGGAATCAAGGGGTAAGTGAAATTTTATTTTGACTCAAAGGCTGATCTGTTTTTCCTACAGACACTGGGAATGGCAGTGAATGAATGTTTGCAGAAATGCCTTGAATTAAATAACACTTCCATTTCCTTTCCTGCCCTTGGGACTGGAAGCATTCGTATATGGATGAATATAGCAGCTAAGATTATGTTTAATGAAGTTTTAAAGTTTGCCAAATGCCATTTGAAAAAACAATTAACTGTAAAGTTTGTGATCTTTCCAGAAGAACTGGAGGTCTATAATGTAAGTTAATATCTTAGAAATGGCTTGTAGTTTGTTCATTCATTCATTCACTCAGTAACATCTGTTTAGTATCTCCTGTGAAGACATGAGCTAAGCACCTGTACAACACGGTGATATTCTAACTTGGTGAATTTAATTTTTGTAAATTGCCCACCTCTGACCTAGTAAAGAATGTCATTATAGAAGCCATCTTTTCACTGCTACCTAACTTCCCTCTTTTTCCTTTGTTGGAATTTATTCTTCCCTCTGCTCCTTAAAGGTAAGCAAGTTTCTAGTTTTAGTATGAGGTCCTCTGCTCCTCTCTCTTCTCTCTCCCTACAAGAACACAAGTATTCTTACAACTTCTACCATAACTTCTGCAAAGTCCTGTCTTCTGAGTCACCTTCAGACCTGTACACCTAAGCCTCTCTCATTTCCATTTGGTTATCTGATTGTCATCTTAAATCCAACATATTTAAAACAAATTCTTTATCTTCTTCTCTCCAATCAACTTCTTTGGGCAAGTTAATTTGCTTTTCTGTGCCTCAATTTCCTTATCTTTAAAGTGGGATAATAGGGGCACCTGGCTGGCTTAGTTGGTAGAGCATGAGACTCTTGATCTTGGGGTCATGAGTTTGAGTCTGTAGAACTGGGCGTAGAGCTTATTTGAAAAAAAAAAAGTAAAATAAAGTGGGAATAATAACTACCCTCGTAGGGAGCTGTTGTGAGCATTAAATGAGCGTATACACATAAGACACTTAGAACGGTACTTGGCATACAGATAAGCCCTTCATGAAGGTCAGCTGTTGTTGTATCAGCTGTAAGGAGCTGTGACACACTGAATGCTGAACTGTATACTAAATTAAATGACTCGTTTGCTATCTTTTTTCCCCAATTAGATTATAAATTCTTTCATGGCACAGATATATTTGGCAGCTTTTGCCATGTCCTTGGTACTGTCCCCAAATTCAATCTGTTGTTTCTTAAGTTCTATGTAGATGACCTCAGAGGGAAGTTGGTTGTGTTCTGATGCAAAAGGGAGGGATGTGTGTGTAGGAGAGTGTGTCCATGTGTCTGAGTGCAGAGATCTGTGTGTCCAGCTTCCTTTGTTTTCACTTCAGCTCAGCTTTTTGTTTTAGAGTGGCCAGATTAAGCTGAGTTTCTAACCTGTGAAAAGTTCCCTGATATAGTCAGCATAATTAGTATATAGTGCTGTGCTGTTCTGCCTTTAAAGTACCGTCTCTGTGCTTTATTTTCGCTTAGTTGGCACTTTGAGAAGGGACTGTCATGATGTTAAGGAAGAATAAAAAAGGAAGTGAAATAAGATACAGAAACTTAAAATAGGTTTTCAAGACATGTTTTTGATTCTGCCAATAGCAACATCCAAGTGCTAGTGCAACTTCCCAGGCGTGCGTCTGGGCTTTGGGTAGAAAGGGCCTTGCTCAGTTCTGGCAGGGAGAGTGGCTCCGAACACTAGTCCTCTGACTGCTCACTCTTCCACCTCCCAGCCTGTCTCTATGTGGGTGGTTGCCATTTTATCTCTCCCTACAAGAAAACGAACTTATTCTTATTCTAGCTTGCTCTTTCCTGGAACAAATGTAAATGTTCTTATTTCTTTTGCTGCCTGACTAGACACAGGGAGGTTTGTAGCATTTGCTGATATTCGTTGCCGACTTCAAGCTCTGAATGTGAGATCACTGAAGGTGGAGTTGGGAAGAGATGTTCAGTGAGCTCTTGTGAGCCGATGTCAGCCAGCTCTAGTATACGACTGTGTCTCATCCACAGCTGACCTGCAAGGTGGCGGAGAGTTACCCAGCCAAGTAGCCTGCCTTCCAGGCAAAATGAATCATCCTGTCTTTTAAATGAAATTCCCCCTAAAAGCAGAGCACTATCAGTGGGCCCAGATAAATGTCCCAACCATATCCCTGAATTGCTCATTAAGTATCATAGCCCTACAAGGGGAATTAACTGCAGCTAGAAAAGAAGGTTCATTCTCTTCAATACACAAACAAGAATGTGCCTGGAGGTTCAAATGAAGTAGAGAGGTCAACCACAAATTGAGGGCTCTACTAAGGATTAATAATAAAAAATAGCTGCCATGTATTGCATTAGTCAGGTATTATGCTAAGGAGAAGCTGTCTCATTTTATCCTCTCCTCAATCCTGTGATGAAGCCACAATTGTCACCCCCATTTTACAAAAGGAAAAACATACAAAGAGGTTAATAGGCACACAGCTAGGCAAGTGGCAAACCAAGATTTCATCCTGGGTCTGTCTCACCTCAAAGCCTATATGTTCTTAACCACTAAACAAAAACACAGAGAGGGGCACCTGGGTGGCTCAGTCGGTTAAGCAACCAACTTCCGCTCAGGTCATGATCTCGCGGTTTGTGAGTTTGAGCCCCGCATCGGGCTCTGTGCTGACAGCTCAGAGCCTGGAGTCTACTTCAGATTCTGTGTCTCCCTCTCTCTCTGCCCCTCCCCTGCTTGCACTCTGTCTTTTTCCCTCAGGAAATGAATAAACATTTAAAAAGTTAAAAAAAAACCAAAATAACGTGAGAGATGATACATCTTTCAGTTTTGTGACTCAAATGAGGAATATCTTACACGGTAATTTATATTATACCCTGAACATTGATCATTCCTTCAGGTTTTCGTCAATATTATAACCATGTTGGAATATGACTTGTGTATACACATATGTAGAAACCTCTGGCCTTCTGATAAGCACCTATTTTATTCCTAAGTAAGCGTTTCAATGAGGGGTGTGTTTTCAGAAAGAGCAGAGAGCAACTTACACAGTTTCTTATAGGAGGCATTACTTTGGCAAGGTCCCTGCATTCCAGAGAATGGATTTGTCAGACATTTAGACTTGACCTGACTCAAGAAGATCAACCAATACCAAACTTCCAATAAAGTGAGACTTACATTCACACACTTGAGAAATTTCCAATTCATGAATGACAGTGAGTAAATGACTCCCAAGCTGACTGAAATACTCGTATCTACCGGTATTTCATGATGATAAGGTTTACTGGATGGAACAGAGTATCTATAAAAGTCGATGGATCATCATTCCTTTGGCTATTTAACAAATATTTATAGCATATCTACTTTGCGCCAGACACAATGTCTCAGAGTAAGGAATACCTTCTCTAGGGACATGCTGCTGACATCCTTCATGTTAGGTGCTCTGGACAGTTGCTGCAGCCCTGAATCTGCCAGATTCCTGCTGTCTGGGTCCACTTTTCCAAACCACTTGCAGACCATCTGCTTGTTATTCATACTTTCTATGTTATTGACATTGGCTTAGTAGCAATTTTCTTTCACATTTAGTTCAAAAGCCTTGCCAGTTGTTTCTAACCCTGTAATACATCCTTACTTTTTTTTTTTTTAACTTTAGAGAGAGAGAGAGCAGGGGAGAGGGGCAAAGAGAGAAAGGGAGAGAAACTCAAGCAGGCTCCATGCTTAGTGCAGAGTTAGACGTGGGGCTTGATCCCAAGATCCTGGGATCATGACCTGAGCTGATATCGAGAGTCAGACGCTCAACCAACTGAGCCACCCAGGTGCCCCACATCCTGGTATTGAAAATGACTTCTAGAGAGAGATGTTTTTTATTCATTTTACACATGACAGATGTTATATTTATCAGCAGATAATGCTATCCCATTTGTTTTATTTCCAAGTCCTTGGACAGGGATGCAAAAGAAATACCCTGTCATGACCTCTCCAGGTACTAAATATGGTATGACTGAGGGCTTTTTGCTCTGGATATAGCAGTTGCAAATACAATTGATGAAGAAAATGTCCTACAGATTAAGAAACTTCATTGTTAAAGTTCAGGTGCAAAGCCAAATCTAGTCTTTACCTCATTATTTACCATCTTTCCAATGAAGTAATTACTGCCAATTGAATCAACTTTAGATAAGGAAGACACTGGGTAGTGGCTCCAAACCCTTGCAGAGATTAGTTTTTTAAAAAAGACACTCTGTTAAAGGATCTGTGTGGCAACACACACAAATTTTTGTCTATAGAATTATGTAATAATAATTACAACAAGAGCTAACATACGTTGAATGCTTACTGTGTGCCAGGTAGAGTTTTAAGCACTTTACAAGAATTGATCACCTATTCAGTCTACAGACAACGTGTGTGCATATACCTTTTTTTTTTTTTTTTTTTTTTTTTTTTTTTGGGACAGAGAGAGACAGAGCATGAACGGGGGAGGGGCAGAGAGAGAGGGAGACACAGAATTGGAAACAGGCTCCAGGCTCTGAGCCATCAGCCCAGAGCCTGACGCGGGGCTCGAACTCATGGACCGCGAGATCGTGACCTGGCTGAAGTCGGACGCTTAACCGACTGCGCCACCCAGGCGCCCCGCATATACCTTTTTTAAATGAATTTATGTTTTGTTAATTATAAGAACATTTACCTATGTTTCTCTTCTTGAGTGACACATCCACAGCTTTAGTTCAGTGTCTAACATGCAAGAAGCAGAGCATGAATGTTTGTGGAATGAATGATTATATTTCGCCTTGAATACACATTCTTTTTTTTTTTTATATACCAGGTTTTGGTTTTCTTTCCAGTTTTTCTATTCTTGTTTCCCCAAGATATTCTAATAGATTGTGGTACTGCATAATTTGGGGCTGGAATTGCTATTCTCTAGCACTTACCAAAAGGCTGCTTTAGATTTGTGGCAGTGGGAATGGGGATTGACAGAGTGGATGAGGTCAGGTGTGGTATGTGCAGGTAGACGGAGGGATTTTGATGACAATGGCTGAAAGCCCCACTTATGACTCTCCTGTTTTTCTTCTTACAGGCTTTCAGTGCTGAAATGGCAAAGAGTAAGTCCAGGCTACGGGGTTTCAATAATTACAGTGGTGAGTACAAAATTCACAGCCTTAGAAGTAGAGTCTACCCACCAGAAATTCATTCTCTTCTTTATCATCTGAACTAATGGAAGGGAGAAGAAGAAATAAGCCAAATATATTTCACTATGCTCCTGCTTGGACACCAACCTGCTTTATATCTGATCATGATTCTATTTTTGCTCAGGCCAGTCTCATGATATGAATAGAGAGAAGCTAAGCCACAGTGGGTAATCCACAGTGTGGGTAGTCCATTCATAGATAGCTGTCTATACTTTTTCCCTAAGAAAAAGTTCTGCCCTTCATAAGATGACGAAGCCATTACTCTTTCTGCTCTGAATGGGGTTACATCTAAATGGAGATACTCATTAGTCATTCTAGAAAACACATCTAGGTAATACCAAATAGTAATAAATGGATTAAGCTGATGCTACCCAAACTTGGGTAATCACTGGGATCATAACAGAAACTGTAAACAAACAAACAAACAAACAAAAATATGTATAGGCCCCAACTGTGTAGATTCTGATTCAGGAGCTCTGGGTCTGGGCCAAGCATGTATATTTTTCAATGGCCCCCTAGTCAATTTTGCTGCTGAACTAGGTTTGGGGATCACAGGACTAAACTAACCCTGGTTGGTGTTAGAGAAAGATTAACTTTGTCTCATAACTCCTTTTCTTTAGTGGAGTTTGAGTTGATGAAGTTAGAATTGCCTCCTGACAGCTAGGATGTATACTTCGGAAATAGTACACATCTACAGTATTCTAGAAATAGTATTAATCTACAGTATTCTATGAATCTTAAAAACACTAGACATTCAACCAGCAATAGAAACTCTCAGGCTATTTCCCAGTAGGGTCACAATGGTTTGCTTACACCCTTTAACAGAAGAGTTTGCTTATGGATATGCTGTGGTCCAGCAGTGCTGGAGAGCTGTGGTCTGTGGCTGTGCCTCTTAGGAACCTGCTTATTTATCTGTAAAACGATAATGACAGACTTTTGTGAGGATAATTGGAGATCATGTATGAAAAATGTTCTGTAAATGCAAAGCATTAAATAAAGGCCATGGAATAATGGGCAAGAGGATGGACAGACAACCCAGGTGCCCCAGAGGAGGGAGAGATTCCTTCTGACCGGAAGGGATCAAGAATGACTTCTTGGACAGGTGGATCTAAGTTAGGCTTTGAGGATGGCAGATTTTCAATGGCAAGAGCTGGTGGGGTTGGGCACCCGAGGTGAAGAAAACCCACAGAAGCAAATAAATGCAGTGCATATATGGGGAACTTCACTGAATCTAGGAAAGGTAGCTAGGAGTCTTAGATGAGGATAATATGGAAAAGGAACATACAAATGTCTCTATGTTGTTAGCCTGAATAGTAGGGCCAGAGGTTACCAGTTATTTCAGTAATTTTTGAGGGCAACTATAAAAGAATTATGATAGCACAGGACAATTATTGACATTTAAAATGGGTTAATGGTGATGGTCTCAGGTTAACAAGGAAAAGTTAAACAAGAAAGGCAGGGAAATGTGTTTTCATTAGAAATATTTAAGTAATTAAATAAATAATTTAGCTAATAAATAACTAATGTGTTTTGGTGCTAGAAGAGTATCCCTTAGTGATCTGAACCAGTAGTTACCCAGAAGAACAATTCTTTTTTTTCTGGTAGTGATGAATAAATGAAATATCACCATGTATTACTTCTATTTTCTCCTAAAAAGTAATATAAGCTCCCAGGCAGAACAAGGGTTAAAAACAAACAGACAAGCTCCTATGCCTCCAATTTAAGAACTCTTGTCACTTCTATAGTCTAAAACATTGGATTTTATTTTATTCAAAGAAAGCCACCCTCCCTCTCTTACTTCTAGGTCTATCTTGGTACTATTTCATAGTTCCTGGTACCACCCAACTGTTATGTAAGGGTAAAAGAAGCTAATTACCGCTACTAACCTGGGATCACTCCTGGGGAGGCAGACTGCCCACACCTACTAGCTCCATGACCACCACTTACTAGTCCTATAGCCATGGGCAAGTTACTTAATAACTCTGAATAAGTTTCCTCATTTGTAAGAGGGGGCTGTTAATAGCAGCCTCCCCTATCCCGTAGGGTTGTTAGGAGTGAACAAAATAATTTATGTGAAGCACTTAGAGCAATGCCTAGAACATGGTAAGTGCTCAATTTACTTTTACCTTTCAAAATATGTTTTTGAGATTCTTCTGAATAGCTGAAGTTCACTCCTTTTTATTGCTATAATAATTTTCCATTGTTGGAGAGCAATTGAGTCATTTCTAGTTTTTTGCTGTTAAGAATGAGAATGTGAACTTTCTTGTACATATCTCCTGATACACACATGCAAGAATTTCTTTACAAGATATAATTATAGGAGTGGTTGTTCCAGTTTTACGTCCGTCACGAATATATACAGGAGCCCCTGCTCTATATCCTTCCACAAACTTGGTATTGTCAGGCTTATGAATTTTTGCCAACCTGGTGGGTAATTTTTCATATCCCTGATTACCAGTGAAGATGAGCATCTTTTCACACATATAGGGGCCCTTTGTGTTTCCTTTTTTGTGAAATCTTTTGCCTGGCTGGCTACTAGGTTCTTTCTTTTTCTTGATAATTTGAGAGAATTCTTTATGCATTCTAGATACTGCCTCACCTATCAGTTTCCTCTCAGTTAGTCCATTGCCCCCTGAGTTTTTTTTTTTTTTTTTTTTTTTTTTTTTTTTTTTTTTTTCAGTTTGGGTTCAGGGTCACTCTAATCCATCTAAGAGATTCTTCTTCTTTATATATATCTTTGCTTGTTATGGAAGGGGGTTTTAGAGAGGGGTACACATGGGTACCCCCTTTATTCCACATGGGTTGGAATAAAGTTCCATTATCTTATCTGCTGGGATATACCATGTCAAGCAATAGGAAGTGCTAAGCTCCAGATTCTGTGGAGGTGTAACATGTCCTTTTCCCCTACAGGTGATATATAAAGAGGAATCCCAGGTAGTAGAATTATGAGTAGTTCTTCCTTTCATTATACTTGGGTAACTTTCTAATATTTCAAAAATAAATGTACTATTTTTACAATCAGAAATACTCATATTGTTCAAAAAGAATTTTCACTCTTTAAGTTCTATGGCTTTCAGAGATGTTTGATTTCAAACTCGGTAGTAGCAAGAGGTTAAGGAGACTCCCAGTCAGCAGGAAATAAAGGCTCACCTCATTTTATTGAGCTTCACAGATACTGCATTTTTTTTTTTTTTTTTTTTTTTTTTTTTTTTTTTTTTTTTTTTTTTTTTTTTTTTTTTACAAATTGAAGATTTGTGGTAACCCTGCATCGGGCAAGTCAGTTGGTGCCATTTTTCCAACAGCATTTGCTCACTTTGTGTCTCTATATGACATTTTGGTGATTCCCACAGTATTTCAAACTTTTTCACTATTATTATGTTTGTTATGGTCATCTGTGATCAGTGATTATGATTCACTGGAAGCTCAGATGATGGTTAGCATTTTTTAGCAACAAAGTATTTTTTAATTAAGGTATTTACATTGGTTTATAGACATAATGCACACTTAATACACTAAAGTATAGTGTAAACATAACTTTTTTCTGCACTGGGAAACCAAAAAATTCATTCGACTCACTTTATTGCAGTATTCATTTTATTGCGGTGATATGGAATCCAAACTGCATGTATGTCTGTAATAGTTGGTTAACATCCAGGGTGATATCAAGGTGAACTCACCTGTGAATTGACAAATGCAACAGAGCAGCAGCAAGACATGAGAGAGCCAACCCCTTACAGGCTCCACCGTTCTCAAGGAGACTGTAAACCACACATTTAGATTTCCTTTGTATCCAACACAGCTCACAGAGCTAGGCACTTAATTGAAGTTGCTGCTGCTGGCAGTGGTCACGATATCCTCGGGGCAAATATTGGCATTGGTGTTTTGTTCTGCTCCGGTTTAAGGCCCACCTGCCTTCTGTGGTTGTTCATGATAGTCTTTTCAGTCCCCCAGTTGACCAGAGAGGAGAAAAGAGAAAATGGGCTCAAAAGTAAATCTCCTGCCATCAGCCTGATGGGACGCAACATGGAAAAGATGAAGGAGGCCCAAGCGTGGATCCGAAGGATACTGACCCTCCAGGACCACCACATCATTGAGAATTATCATATACTCTACCTTGGAAAAAGGGAACATGACATTTTGACTCAGCTTCAGAATAATTTAAGGGTCTCTATCTCAGAGATTATCAGTCTGGAAAAGGTAATTTTAGAGATTAAAGGAGCCCAGGCTAGCCTCGTTGAGGTGGTTATGAACATTGAACATATGCTGTGTGAAGTTCAAGAGGAAATGGCAAGAAAAAAGGAGCTAGCCCTTTGGAGCTTGTCAGGTGAGTAACTTCCAATTGAGTTGAAAAGTCGGCTCTCCCAACTGTTCCTTTTTTTTTTTTTTTTAATTTTTTTTTCAACGTTTATTTATTTTTGGGACAGAGAGAGACAGAGCATGAATGGGGAGGGGCAGAGAGGAGAGGAGACAGAATCAGAAACAGGCTCAGGCTCCAGGCCCAACATCAGCCCAGAGCCCGACGGGGCTGGGCTCGCCGAACTCCTCACGACCTGGCAGATCGTGACCTGGCTGAAGTCGATGTTGTAACGATTGCCGACCCAGGCGCCACCAAGTAACTGTTCATTCTCTATGGGTGTGAGGAACATAACCTGTATATATGTGGGTAAGATATAGCATGGGAGAGAGAACAAACCATGCTGGTTCTGTGTTAAGCCATAAACTTTTATAACTGTTTTTTGGCTCTCTTTCTACCAGCAAGGTTAATTAGAAAATCAACACACACACACACACACACACGTACGTGAGTGATTGGATTTACTTATGATGAAATGGATTGCCTAAGAAGCAGTTAAATGCCTAGCAGTTAAAAGCCTAGGATAACATAAGCCCAGGCTCTGGGGAAAAAAGTACATCCTTAATTCTACACATGGAATGTTCAAATTTAGACAGACACATTACACTTGATTAATCAATTTCTTTGAGTTCTATTGCATTTATGTATTTGTTGCTAGCAGCATTAGGAACCCTAAAATTACTTTGAGCTCTCTCACCAAAGTAAATTATTCATTCTTACTGTGAAGTACACTCAAGTATCTCCTATGCAGCGGGGCAAAATTCATCATGATGACTGGGAATTTGGGTTCGGAGATATCCTTTTAACATAGCCCTAGAGCTAAGAAATTATACCATTGAAAATGCCACCTTGAGAAACAGAGACTTATTTCATTTATTTATTTGATTAATGTATATTGTGTCTATGGTATGTGCCAAGCATTGTGCTGGGTGCTGGGGATACAGTGATAAGATGGACGTTGTTTCCACTCAAAATCCAAGTAAGGATACTGAGAAGCAAGCAGGTTAGTTATGAAAGAGGAGGGTGAAAGTGCTCTGGGAGCATCTCGGAGAGGCACTGTGACATTGCGATTTATAAGATATGTTTGGTCATTCAGATGACCAAAATATATGGTCATATACATTTGGTCTTCGTCAACATTTCTGGCTTACAACTCTCAAAGCCCTTGGATTTCCTAAGTGTTGAGAGTGATAAAGATGTCTTTTGTTATGTTAAAGAGGTGACTCTGGAAAGCCCCTAAGAACGGGGACTGGTCACTAGGACACCAAACCCTGTGGTTGGAGGATTGGAACTTTCAGTGTTCCCCCACCCAACCTCCAGGGAGGGGGCTGGAGGTTGAATCAGTTGCCATTGACCAATGATTTAATCAGCCATGACTATGTATGGACCTCAGTAAAAACCCAGAAGGACAGGTTCAGAGAACTGCCAGGTCAGTGAGCACGTGGAGTTTTAGTGCATATAAAAGTTGCATGTAGGGAGAGTGGCTTGCTAGGAGAGAGCATGGAAGCTCTGCACCCTGCCCCCATTTCCTTGCCTTATGCATCTTTTCTGTCTGGCTATTCCTGAATAATATCCCTGTATAATAAACCAGTAATCTAGTACGTAAAATGTTCCTCTGAGTTCTGTGAGCTGCTCTAGCAAATTAATTGAACCTGAGGAGGAGATGTTTTGACCAGCTGGTCAAAAGTACAGGTAACAACCTGGACTTGCAAATAGTGCCTGAAATCCACAGAGAAGGTCATTGGAATCTCCAGTTTGCACAGGTGACAACTTGGCTTTTGACTGGTGTCTGAAGTATGTGTGTGTTGAAGAGCAGTCTTGTAGGACTGAACCCCTAACCTGTGGAATCTGATGCTATCTTTGGATAGACAATAGCAGAATTGCTTGGTTGTACATATGGGAAACCCTCCTGCACACAGAGACTTTGAAATTGGTCTCAGGATACCAATTTAGGCACTTAATCCAGACTTGGGAGGTCAAGGGAAGGCTTCTCAGAGAAGGTGTCATAAATGGAGAATGAAGAATAAGTAGAGAGGTTCCTGGGTGTCTTAGTCAATTGAGTGTGCTGCTCTTGATTTCGGCTCAGGCCAAGATCTCATGGTCGTGAGTTCAAGCCCTGCTTTGGGCTCTGCACTAGACGTGGAGTGTGCTTGAGATTTTTCTCTCTTCTCCCTCTGCCCCTTCTCTGCTTGTCTCTCTCTCTCTCTTTCTCTCGAAAAAAAAAAAAAAAAAAAAAAAAAAGAATAAGTAGAAATTAGTAAGGTAAAGAAACTTTTCAAGCAATCAGACCATAGCAGGGTCTAGATTATGAAAGACTTTATAAATCACATGGAAAAGTTCAGAGTTTTTCTTGAACAAATGGGGAGCCTTGAAGGATTTTAAGCAAAGATAAGGTCAGACTTGTATTGTAGAAAGATCACTGTGATGTTGATGGGTTGGTACAAAAATTCATATGTGAAATTTTAAAGGGCACCTTATTTTCACTTGTGTTTGTAAAAATAATTCAGGCAGATGTGGTCAAAGTGAGTGGGAGTATACAATAAGTGTTTTATCCACATTCCCCAGAAAAACCAGTGTCAAAGAACATGCACAAAAATAATACACAAGGATAAGACCAAAGGTTTTAATTTCTACTTAGTTTGAATTGTAATGACTGTGGATATTTAAATTGACTCTGATACTTTCCAAGAGAACAAGAGGCAAAAAAAAAAAACACTGGCCTATAAAACTTGTGGCATTACTTTAAACTAACTGCATTCATAAGGTTGATCCACTCTGCCAGCAGTTGGCAATTTAGTCATGTGAGTCCCATGTTCTGGTGCAAGGTGGTATTTTTGATAGGTGATGACTAAGCATAGTATTCCACAGCAGTGTTTCAGAGTTTCCTACAGACTCACCCTCTCTTAATCAGATTAAGACCTTCATTAACAAAATGGATACATTTTCAATGAGTTATTACTACAAGAAACATCAACTATCCGTCAGAACAATAAAATTTAAATAATAGAAGTTAGGGATTTCCTCTTTTATGCTGCTTTTTAAATCCTTCCTGGTGAGTGCTTCTTCGGTGCCCAACCCAGGGCCAGGCATATAATAGGAGCTCAGTAAATGAGTTGCTGAACTCAAGTGAACTGAATTCTATTACTATACTTTATTAATGTCAGCTATTGCTCTTGAGATTTAATTTACAGTCTCTTCCTTAGAAACTTCCTGGGTTTGGAGTTTCTCTGCTATGAAATTTTGTCCTTCCTGCTTTCCAGATTTACAACTTGGCCCCTCTAGTGACTTTCTTAGGATTTATTATCTGCTTTTTTGTGGTTAAATTGAGACCACTCAATTAAATAATGTGCTGGGAGTTTTGTCATTTTTGTATACTTGGGTTTACGTCAAACTGAAAATAAACTGAAAGAAAAGAAGTCTTTTTGGTAGTGGTGGTGGGGTCCATTTGTCCACCTGTGTATTTTGTCCAATAAGGAGTTGCTGGGCAATAACAGGTTGTCCCTTGAATTTAAAAAGGAAGGAAGGAAGGAAAGTTAAGGGAGAAGGAACAAAGGAAGAAAAAAAGGAAAAAAGGAAGGAAGGGAGGAAAGACAGGACACCATAGACTCTGAATCTCCAAATTTTGCTCTTTGTGGTTGGGTGGTATATGAGTGATACAAATATTCTGCCTTGCCACTTACAGGAAGCACTGATGAAAGCCAGGTTTATACTCCTGGGTATGTACCTATTAGGTATGTGATATCGGGCAAGTCACTTACTTCTCTGGGTTTCAATTTCCTTCGTTGTAAAAGTGTGTTAGTTATAATTATTTCAGTGGTGGTGTGAAATGCTCAAATGAGGTTGAGATATGAAATCTTTTTGAGAATCTTGAAGTTTTATGTAAATGTCATACTGTTTTTCATCATTCCTTCATGTTTTGTTATGCCTGTATCTTTTTGTTGATGAGCATCCTGGCTAGAAATATAAACATTACCTATTGGCAACACAATTCTATATCATCATTACAACATTGATGGGGGAAGTATATACTAATGCTCTTTTTTCTCTCACCCCCTCAGCCTCATAATCCAAATCATGTGAGGACAAATTTATTAGCCCCTCTCTTATCCTATGACTTCTCATTATATGATACTCTCCTTGCATGCCTAAACATGTAAGGCATACAGTGTAAACTGGCTAATCTATTCCTTTAAACATCTATAATTTGTTTCATTGCATTTCTTTACAAACCTTTTTCATCTCACAGAGTATTGAGACCAAGTTTTGTGTTACTCGTTTTTAGGACAGTGGATTGATTGGCAACCAAAAAACCAGGATGAAATGAAAAGGAATACATTTCTGAAATGCCTAAAGCTTTCAACTGAGGAAATTCAGAATCAGAAGAAACAGTTTGAAAGCTGTGGCTTGCAGGTTATAAAGGTATACTTAATTAAGGGAAGGGTTTGACCTGTCGTGGGTCTATAACCAAAAGAAGAATTCACCTGCTGATGACTCTAAGCCAGCTGCTCATTGACCTGGAACCCTGGGATTAAGACTGAAAGTGGGGCAGGGATGGGCACCAGGAGGTAGAAATGATGTCAGGATATACAGAAGCACCGATGAAGATTTGGGGGAAAGTTATCTGCCTATCTTGAAGCAAAGTGAAAGAAATGGAATAGCATATACCACACTGTATTATAATTGTTTACCTATTTTTACTTCTCATTAAACTGTGGGCTCTTAAGAAGGCCAAGAATGTGTATACACTGTTGACCAATTCGTTACCACTTCTTGGCACATAGTGAGTGCTCAGTGAATTTTTATTAAATGGATTTATCAAAGAAGGGACAGGGAGTTTTGAAGAGACAGAAGTCAAAGTAGGAGAGGGTTGGGGCTCGGAGAGACGCTTTAAAAACTTTATATAAAAAGTAAATTGCTTGCAAAGTAATATGCACGTAAGAACCATTATCTTTGAAGTGGAGTATCAGGCACTTGAAATACAGGTTCTCACCCTTTTTTTTCAGTGTTTTCAGTTTTTCATATCCTTGGGTCATAGGTGGAGGAAATTGACAATGTGTTTCTCATGGCTGTCTTCCAAAGAAAGAAGAAAATGGTGGAAGAAAGAATACATAGGGATCCTGTGAGCCACAGGTTGTTTCAGCAAGTTCCTTACCAGTTCTGTGAAGCAGTATGCAGAGTTGGCTTTCAAAGAATGTACTCGATGCCCTGTGGTAGGTATTAGCCCCTCATCACTGGGGGGCTCTATATGTGGGAACTGGTAAGCAGACATCAGCAGATGACTCACCACTAATAGTATTTGTTGCTGTGGTGAGGGGATCGCTTGTAATTGGGATTTTGTGGTAAAGTCATTTGGAAAGGGTCATATTTTTTATTTTTCCTTCATATTTTTTATTGCTGATGGGTTTAATGTTGACGAAAGTGAACGGTGAGACTACAGTTCACTGTTTTTCTCTTTTCTGTGGTCATGTGTTTTATCTGCAGAGAGCACCCTGAAGCTCTTCTCTCTCTCTCTCTCTCTTTTTTTTTTTTGGCTTATTTCCACAAAATTATTATCAACATTACCAAACCTCATCCCTTAATCAAAAGAGCACTTTCCTGAACTTCATGAAGTTGCTCTTTTCTCTTCCATCCTCTTCATTTCCTGTAGGCTGCTAGTGAATGAATTAGATATCTGGCAGGGGAAGTAAATAACATCTTAAGATCCTTTTCAGCTATGGGGCTTCTATGTGTAGCTCTCATGTCTCTTTTCAGTTGTACGAAAATATTGCATACTTAACTGCTGTTTTATCCCCTTCAGATGTCTCCAAAGGAGCCTAAGAAGTTTAGTGATGATCGTGATGGGTACCTAACGATGAGGCTTGATTTTGCCTGATCTATTGACTATGTTCTTGATCTTTATCTTTCAAAATATATAGCATGACCCTTGCTGTGAAGCTAACTCCAACTCTTGATTTCTAGAAAGCAAAGGGTCTAGAAATCATCTTCTCTTTGCCCCAGAGAGAACATAAGCAATACCTGGAGTAAAAATTGGACATGGAAAATTCCTGGGGGTAAAAACTCACAAGTGAATCCCCACCAAGAAGTCTTTGATTATAACTAGAAAAGTGATATTGGCAAAGTCGTAAAAATTCACAACATCCATTTGCTCCTAAACCCATTGTAACTGACCTTCTCTGCACTCCCCCTCCCTACCCTTACCTAAACTATCCTAAGACCATCACTGTCCTATTTTTCAAATCCAGTAGTGCCTTCTTTTCAATCCTGTGGCAGACACTGCTAATTGCCTGCCTGACATCTGTACATGTCTTTTTCCCTAAAAGACACATACACCACCTCCCAAGGAAAACAGCCTCCAAATCTCATCTTGTCTCATCATCAACTTCAAATCCAGAAAGTCCTCTCTTAAAGCTTAAAAGCAAAGTAATTGCCCTAACCCACTTGTTATATAATGAGAGGAGAAGGAGCAGGAAAATTGCAATAAAAACTCCAATTTCTAGGGGTGTCTGGATGACCCAGTCAGTTAAGCATTAACTCTTGATTTCAGCTCAGGTCATGATCTCACATCGTGAGTTCGATCCCCGCATCAGGCTCTGCACTGACAGTGTGGAGCCTGCTTGGGATTCTCTCTCTCCTCTCTCTTTGCCTCTCTCTCTCTCTAACAAAATAAATAAACTTAAAAATAAAACCCCTCCCATTTCTAAACGGTAGAAGGAAAGTCACTGGTCCATACCACTAATCATGCTGCTGGATAGGCATAGAGAGTATTCTCTATTCTGGGAGTGAAGACCCTTGTTTTCCACTCTGGGAAGAATCTTTCTTATGTGTTGCCACCCTTGGTCATTTCTAGGCCCTCTGCCTATCAGGGGTCCGTGGATTGCCTCAGGGACTAGAATGCTCTCAGGCTACTGTAGCCAGGCTTGCAGTTTCTTCAGCAATACAGTTCCTTTAAAACCTCAGCAGGCAGGAAAGCTGTTTGCTTCTGGTCAAGTTTGTGTCTTTATAACCCAGCTAAAGGTCTTGTCTCCATCTAGTCTTTAAGCCTTAAGACTCTGGTCTTTTACCTACTGGCCTCTGTGCTCTGTCCATGTCCCTAGGTTAACACCCACTGCCTGAGGCAGTTCAGATGATTAGAGTCATTATGCCCATAATGTGACTGTACCAACATGTCTGTGGGGAGCATGCTTCACCAAAGGTGCTTGAGAAACACAGGAGATATTTTATTACCCCGAAGTTGTTTTGCAACTCTTTTTTAAACCTAGTTTTTTTTTTTTTTTTTGAACGTATATTCTGAGACAGAGAGAGCGAGCATGGGCAGAGGAAGGGGCAAAGAGAGAGGGAGAAAGAGAATCCCAAGCAGGCTCTGCATTGTTAGCACAGAGTCTGATGTGGGGCTTGATCTCACGAACCGTGAGGTCATGACCTGAGCCGAAATCAAGAGTGAGATGCTTAACTGACTAAGCCATCCAGGTGCCCCTAACCTAGTTTTCATTTGGACTGCAAAGTCTTTTTTACCCTGCAAGGTTCCAAATTATGGGACTCTTGGTCAATTCAGATGGCCACCTATAGGCACAGGGGCTTCTATTAATGAAGTTGTATGTATATATTTTCTATATTGCCTTGTATTCCAGCCAGTTCATCTCTTGCTTGTAGGGCTTGGCTGAATGTAGCAAGGAGAATACATGCTTGCAATTTTTTTTATTGGGTTCATTCATTCATTCCACAAGTGTTTCTTGAACACGTTCTATAAGTCAGGCCCTGTGCTAGGTGAGAGGAATACCACAGTAAACAGAACACACAGAGTTCCTACCCTTAAAATTTATAATCTAGTGAGTCCATCTGTTGCCCATTCTTTAAATGTTCGTGTTTTCTGGAGTTCAAAAGGAATCCTTCTCTTTTGTAACCCTACAGTGTCACCCTGCGTGATTGCACCCATTCCTATGGCTTCAAACTCCTACCTCTATGGATGACTTATGAATTTGTGACTCTGACCCCCTACCTCTCCCCTGACCCACAGGTCCATATTTCTGACTGTCTTTTGAACATTTCTGCCTAGATGTTCCAGAGCCACCTCAGACTGAACTCTTCTCTTGGCCATACTTTACCCTGAGAAATATGCTTCCCCCTTCCCCCCCAGTACTCCCTAACCTGACTAATACCATCACCATCTATCTACTGGGTCTCCTAAGCTGGAAACTCTACCATCTTCCACTCCTTCCTTCCTCTCATTCTTATGTCCAGGCAGTCACACAGCCCTACTGGTTCTCTCTCGGTGACCTTTGCAGCCCAGTCTCACCTTTTTATTCCTACTGCCTTTGTTGTTCTTCCCCTGGGCCTGGACAATCATCAGGTCCTTTCCTTGCCTCAAAACCAACCCTATCCAACCTACCCTTTACTCTGCTACCAGAATTATCATCCTAAAAAAATACACGTGTTGCAGGGAGTATGGCCGGAGTTGCAAAAGATGCGCCTGCAAACAAAGTGCAGTTAAGTGAAGGTCCTCATACTCGAGTCGGAATGAGGCTGGTCATTAGAAAAAGGATTGGAAGTGACTGGATAGGCAGTCTTTCATTTAACATGAGTGGTAATTTTTCAGGTAAAGGAGGGGGGTATATTTTATTGTAAGGAGGGGCAGTAGCCTCCAAGTTATCATTTGTGAGTGGCGGTAGAGGCCATTCTGGTGAAGTATCTTCCTCAGGCGCTATAGCCCTGATTTCTTCAGAAGAAGATTCATCCTCAAAACTATCAGATGTAAAATCCGACTCATCTCCTTCTTCTTGATGAGTTTTTAATTTAGGCGAACTTATATTTTGTTCTGAGTCAGACTGTAAAGGCTATAAAGCCATCTCAATTAAAGAGCATAAAGACCAAACTTTTAAAGAAATGATATCTCCATTTTGATGAGCGTGCCTAAGTGTTTTCATAATCAATCTCCATTGTTTAAGGTTTAAAAGATTTTTTCTAGAAGGGTTAAACCAATAGCAATGTTTTTTAAACAAGTACCAGAGCTCATCAAAATACATGCTTGTTTAATATCTATTTTTCTAGTCGCCTACAAGGTAAAACCCCAAACCCCTTAGCAAAGCACATAAGGCCCTAGCCCCACATTATTCACCCACCTTGTCACTATGTTCCTCAACACTTCAGCCATGAACTGCTTAAGAGTTTCCTAAATGTGCTGGAGATTTCCTGCCTTTATGCCTTTGCATGTGGAATGCCTTCCTCTCTCATCCTTTTTTAGCCCGCAAAGTCCCATTCTTTATTCCAGACATAGCTCAAATGGCATGTCCTGGTTGACACCTTCCCTAACTCCTGCAGGCCCAGGAACCTGCTTGCTCTTCTGTCCTCCTGCACTTCTGGTATTCCTTTGTTACCACATCTGTAACTCCAATAAGTATCAAAATTTACAGTTCCACAAAACCTGGGTGTGGGTCTTGTCTTCTTTATTGCTGTAAAATGGAACTTTACCTACATCTCATGCTCCTATGTCTGCAGATGAGGAAAACTCTTGATGGTTCAAGATGAACTCAGTCATTTTCAGAGTTTTCTTAGTCCCTTTGGGGTTTAAACTCAGTTCCTGCAAGGTGTTCCCCTTCTTCTCTTCTGAGAGTGCTTTAGATTATGGGACAGGCATTTGTGAGGAAGGTGGTTTGGTGCATGGTCTGCATCTATCTGTTCTCTGCCTCCCAATGTCCTCTGCTAGATAAGCCATCCTGGGCATCAGTCATTAGCACCCTCCAGTGCTTAAATTCATGGTGCCCTTTGCTCTTAGTGTCTCCACAGGGCACTCTGTTTTTCATGCTGAGGGAATTCCTTTCCAAGCCAGTATCTGTGCCTGTCCTAGAGCACAGGAAATTTTTGAGTGTGCACATCCTCCAAGCTGAAGTGCAAGGTCTTATACAGCAGTCCTCAACTGTTCTGGACATCTTCCCCAGCCATTGCTACTTTTCACTTAGATGCCAGACTGGAGGAGGGGGCTGTACCCAGTAGAGTCAGGCAATGGTTCCTTCTACTTTAGAAGTCCCCCTCCCTGTTTTTCCGAGATTCTTGTTGTTCTGCCCCATCTCGACTCCCAGGGCTCTTTTGAGGGAATGGAGCAGTGAAGTGAGCCCCTTCTCAGATTCCCCAAGAGTTCTAGTCATGTCCTCTCTGGTTCTTCTCTTCCTACCAGGTGAAATGAAGAATTTTTATTTATTTTGAAGTGAGAAAATTATTCTGAGAATATCTTTCATCCTTCTCTCCTCTGTTACATATGGCATAAACACCATGCTATGAATTCTTTAGGTTTTTATTAATTTTTATTTATTTTTAAAGTTTATTTATTTATTTTGAGAGAGACAGAGAGAGCATGAGTGAGAGAGGGGCAGAGAGAGAGGGAAAAAGAGAAAATCCAAGCGGGCTCCACACTGCTAGCACAGAGCCTGATGCAGGGCTCAAACTCCCGAAACCATGAAATCATGACCTGAGCCAAAACAGAGTCGGATGCTTAACTGACTGAGCCACCCAGGCGCCCTGAATTCTTTAGGTTTTTAGATTTTTGGTTCAAAAAACCCTTTTCTCTCTCATAAAACCTAACTTTTAAGACCACAGTCTCTGCTTTGATTAAAATTAATTACATAGGATATAATTACACACACACACACACACACACACACACACACACACACACAACTGACCTTATTCTAAGCTCTATCCTTTTTTCCCTGAGTAATAAGTAGGAAGAACTCAATGGGTGGAAGAATCAAGAGCAAGAAGAAACTCCCAGGAAATAAATCTTTGATTTTTATCTCAAAATATTTGCTCTCCACATAAAATTGTGTTTACCTGTGGGGAGTTCCCTTTGTGAATTGTTGAGACCAGGGATCATGTCTTAGTCATTTTTTTAAGCCCTAGAGCTGCATTGTCCAAATGGTTGCCACTAGCCACATGTGGCTATGGTGCACTTAAAATGTGGTTAATCTGAATTGAGACATGCTATAAGTGTAAATTAATTACACTTGATTTTATTTCTTTATTTACTTTTAATTTTTTTAATGGTTTTTTTTTTTTTTTTTTTTTTTTGAGTTGGGGGTGTGTAGGGGTAGAGAGAGAGGGAGGCACAGAAAGAATATGAAGCAAGCTCCAGGCTCCAGGCTCTGGGAACACAGACATGGTTCCTGACTTGGGGCTCGAACTCATGAACCATGAGATCAAGACCTGAGCCGAAGTCAGATGCTTAACCAACTGAGCCACCTAGGCACCCCAATATATACTGATTTTAAAGACCACTACCAAAGAAAAGAATATAAAATATCTCCTTAATAATTTTTATATTGATTACATGTTGAAATGATACCATACTGAATATAACAGATTAAATAAAAATAATTACATTAGTTTTACCTGTTTCTTTTTACCTTTTTATGTGGCTACTAGAAAATGTAATAGGACTAGAGAGAGTATACATGTTAGTACCCAAATAGGCAATATGATTCAGCAGATCATAATGATCTTTTTTTTTCTTTTATCAGACCCAAAATATGGAGTTGGTATATACTTCACCAAGAATCTGAAAAACCTAGCATACCAAGTCAAGAATACATCTGCCACAGATGAACTGATCTATGTGTTTGAAGCTGAAGTACTCACAGGCTCCTTCTGTCAGGGTCATCATTTAAATATTTTCCCCCCACCGTTGAGTCCTGGAGATATAGATAGCCATGACAGCGTGGTTGACAATGTCTCCAACCCTGAAACCTTTGTTATTTTTAGTGGCACACAGGCTATGCCTCGATATTTGTGGACTTGCACCCAGGATCATGTACAACCACAGAATGACTCAGCAGGACCAATGATGCTATCTTCACAGCAGCCTTGGGAAAGATTCTCAAGTGGTAGCTCTGTTGATTAACCTCTGTTGATTAACCTCCACATCATTTTGACAACTGGCATGTCCTTACTTTGGAGAAACTATCCAAATAATGACCATCAGTAAGTCAGAGTGGCTTGAATATGTCAAATGGGTTGTCCATGTGGACTGATTGTGTTATTCAAGGGACCCACCACATCCTCACATCTTAGTTCTTTCATCTTTGTCTTCATCTCTTGGGATTGAGGTGGATAGATCCCAACTAAAACACTCTCAGGACCATTCCCTCTCCTTCAAGTTGTCCTTTCACCTCTTTTACTATAGGTAACAGCAAAAATGTTTTACATGTAATGAAGGGATTTTTCTAGCATACAATCCAAGCCTTTTTAGTTTCTAAAATGGATAGTGTAATAGCAGGATGCTTTTGCATTTTCCAGATAATCTTATATAGTGTTTTAGATATCAAAATAAATCACCTTTGTCTGAGTAACTGGCTTTGAAAAGTTATATGTAAAATGACATTATTCGAAGTGGAAGGACATCAAAAGGCTGATATTCTACTGATATCATATTTGGATTCAGCCATATCAAGCAATGCCATTCAAGCATCATGAGGCCAAATGATTAATTCACCAAATATTTCTTGATCATCAGATGTGTTTCATTTTTCTGGATACTGGGGACATGATGCCAGACAAGGCAAATATCTTCAGGCAGCTGGCAGCCTGAATAATCAGAAATGCAGCTATATGATTGAGTATAATAAAAGAGGATTTACAGATTCTTTGGAAACATTTAAGAGGGAGAGGAATAAATTAATCAGGGGTTGGGAGGAAGGCCTTCTAAAGAAAGTGAAACTCAAGATGAAACCTGAAGTATTTGTAAGAGGTAGGTGAAAGAGGGATGTAGCAAATCAGGAGCAGAGATGGAAGAATACTTTATGCAGAGAGAAAAGCTCTTATCAAGGCTGAATCCACTGTGACTTTGCCCAAATTTGACTTCAGAGTTCTGTAATGTAAAGGCCAGCTAATCTCACCATTTATCTCTTGCCTATTCTGAAATCTGTATTTCCCTATGCTTCCAAAATTTCCTCACCCTCATATCCTTACACAGAACACTTCTTCCTCCTCTTACTGTAACCAGCATTCTTCCTCTTTTTTTAAATCCCCTTCACCTATTTCACCAGCCCCACCCACCTCCCCTCTGGTAACGATGTTTGTTCTCTATAGTTAAGAGTATATTTCTTGGTTTCTTTTTTTTTCTTTGTTTTGTTTCTTAAATTCCACATATCGGCGAAATCATATGGTATTTGTCTTTCTCTCCCTGGCTTATTTCACTTAGCGTTATATTCTCTAGCTCCATTCATGTTGTTGCAAATGGCAAGATTTTATTATTTGGGGGGGGGATGAATAATATTCCATTGGGTATATCTATACCGTATCTTCTTTATTGATTCATCTATCAATGGGCTGCTTTCATAATTTGGCTACTGTAAATAATGCTGCAATAAACATAGGGGTGCATATATCTTTTCAAATTAGTGTTTTTGTATTCTTTGGGAATAGTGGAATTACTGGATCATATGGTAATTCTATTTTTAATTTTTTGAGGAATCTCCATACTGTCTTCCACAGTGGGTGCACCAGTTTGCATTACCACCAACAGGGCATGAGGGTAACTTTTTCCCCACATACTTGCCAACATTTGTTGTTTCGTGTGTGTGTGTGTGTGTGTGTGTGTGTGTGTGTTTTAATTTTTAAAGAAGTTTTTAAATTCCAGTTAATTGTTTCTTGTGTTTTTTTATTTTAGCTACTCTAACAGATGTGAGGTGATATCTCGTTGTGGTTTTGATTTTCATTTCCCTGATGAGTGATGTTGAGCATCTTTTCATGTGTCTGTTGGCCATCTGAATGTCTTCTTTGGAGAAATGTCTGTTCATGTCTTTTTCCCATTTTTCAATTTGATTATTTGTTTTTTGGGTGTTGGTTTATATATTTTGGATACTGAGTCTTTATCAGGTATGTCATTTGCAAATATCTTTCCTCATTTTGTAGGTTGCCTTTTAGTCTTGTTACCTTTGCTGTGCAGAAGCTTTTTATTTTGTTTTTCCCCTAAACCATGTCTCCACACTATCTACCTTCCCTAATGTGGCCTTTTCTCTCCCTCTAGTTGTGTAGTTTGCTCTGTCAGTATTCAGATCGATTTTATGGGATTCAGAATGATTTGATAGTTATCTAATTGTGCTCTAGGGATGAGAGGAGTGTAGGGCCCCCCTACTATGCCCCACCATCTTAGCTCCTTAGAAGCTTTATTTTGATATAGCCCAATAGTTTATTTTTGCTTTTATTTCCCTTGCCTGAGGAGACATATCTAGAAAATGTTGCTATGGCTAATGCCAGAGAAAGTACTGCCTGTGCTCTTCTAGGATTTTTATGGTCTCAGGCCTCATATTCACATCTGTAATCCATTTTGAGTTTATTTTTGTGTATGGTGTAAGAAAGTGGTTTGGTTTTATTCTTTTGCACGTAGTTATCCAGTTTTCCAACCACCATTTGTTGAAGAGACTTTTTCCCATTGTACATTCTTGCCTCCTTTGTTGAAGATTAATTGACCATATAGTTGTGGGTTTATTTCTGAACTCATTCTGTCCCATTGATCTATGTGTCTATTCTTGTGTCACTACCATACTGTTTTGATTACTACAGCTTTTGTAGTATATCTTGAAATCTGGGATTGTGATACCTCCAGTTTTGTATTTTTCCAAGATTGCTTTGGCTATTCAGGATCTTATGTCATTCCATATAAGTTTAGGATTATTTATTCTAGTTCTGTGAAAAATGCTATTGGTATTTTGGTAGGGATTGCATTAAATGTGTAGATTGCTTTGGATAGTATGGATATTTTAACAATGTTTGCTCTTACACTCCATGAGCATGGAATATCTTTCCATTTGTGTTGTCTTTAATTTCTTTCACCAATGTTTTACAGTTTTCAAAGTATAGGTTTTTCACCACCTAGGTTGTTTATTCCTAGGTATTTTATTCTTTTTGGTATAATCGTAAATGGTATTGTTTTCTTGATTTCTCTTTCTGCTACTTCATTATTAGTATATAGAAATGCAATGAATTTCTGTATATTGATTTTGTATCCTGCAACCTTACTGAATTGATTTATTAGTTCTAATGGTTTTTTAGTGGAGTCTGTAGGGTTTTCTATATATAGTATCATGTCATCTGCAAATAGTGAATCTAATATTTCTTCCTTACCAATCTGGATGCCTTTTATTTCTTTTTCTTGTCTGATTGCTGTGACAGTATTCTTCCTCTTGAAAGAAGCATGCTTCCTATCTCATATGGTACTGTCTTTGGATATGGGCAAAAGAGGCCCTGCCCTGAACCTCTGGTTTGAGAGGGCCCCACTCTGGTCTGCTTCTATGTGTTCTCATCTCTACAAGATAAGTAGTCTATAGGGTCAAGAGAATGTATCAATTATAAGCCTTCATACTTCACTTCTAAACCACCTACTAGGTACCTGGAACCCCAAACTTTCTTGACTGAACAGCTCCAAGTCTATTTCCAGGGCCTAACTCGACCTCTTTCTTGGTTCTGTCCTCTTGAGGGTGGACTGTGCCACAAGTCTGCATCAAGAATGGTCAAAGAGTGACTGTTTGGGTCATGGGCAGTAGGGCTGAAGCATTCGTATGCCTGGGGGTAAGCTTGCGACATAAAGCTAAAATAGTGCTTAAATTATCTATAACCTTAAAGCTTATATTAAGAAAAAATAAAGGTATAAATTAATCAGCTAAGCATCCAACTTAAGAAAATCAGAATAAATTTGAAAGGATAAAAACAGAAAATAATGAAATGGATGCAAAAACATTACAACAGAGGGAATAAAGTAATAGCTATTTCTTTGTAAAGATTAAAATTCTTTTAAATGTTTATTTATTTTTGAGAGAGAGAGAGACAGAGCCTGAGTGGGGGAGGGGTAGAGAGAGCAGGAGACACAGAATCCAAAGCAGGCTCCAGACTTTGAGCTGTCAGCACAGAGCCCGATGCAGGGCTTGAACTCACAAACCGTGAGATCATGACCTACGCTGAAGTCAGATGCTTAACAGACTGAGCCACCCAGGTGCCCCTGTAAAGATTTTAAAAATATGCAAATCTTTGGTAAGATTGATAAAGAAAAAACAAAAGGTACAAATAAAGAATTTGAGGAATAAAAAGAGGATGTAACTAAAATACATTAGAGATCTAAAGGTAATAAGATAATGCCAGAAACAATTTTGTGCTAATAAGCTGAAAATTTAGACAAAATACAGATTTTCTCTTGAAAATATAACCTATCAAAATTGATTGAAGAACTAGAAATCCTGAATTTTCTAAAATCTATTAAATAAATTGAATCAGCAATTGAAGTTTTACCTACCAAGTAAACAAATACAAGCTAAGATGATTTTACTAAGTGAGTTCTACCAAATCTTCAAACAACAGATAATTCCAATTTTATATAAAATCTTCTAGAGAACTTTTTAGAGAAATAAGAGGGAACTTTCTCCAACAAATTTTTCAAGGCTAGTTTAACCTTGATACCAAAAATAGACAACCAGTATAGATATGAAAAATCCAGATACAAAGCACAAATCTGAAACTATTAACAAATATAGTTCAGTTCTGTATAAATAAATAAATCATGGTCAATTTGGGTTTATTTCAGAAATTCAAGGATAATTTAACTTAAAATCTGCTAGTGTAACTCACCATATAAATATATAAAAGAGTATGCTCATTTCAATGTATAGAAATAAGTCACTTAATAAGCAATTCATAAAAAACCTAGAGCATTATATTTCATAGTAAAACATTAGAACAATTCCCTGCAAAATCAGGAATGAAACAATGGATGCTTTCTATCACCACTTACCTTCTCCAATGAGTTAGAACTCCTGTCAAACACAGTAAACAACAAATGAAAAACATGACTAGTGGTGGAGAAATAAAAATGTCATTAATCAAAGGAAATATGATTGTCTATAGGAAATCCAAGAAAGGAG